GAATGAATAAGTGTACAGTATGTATATGTGTGGGTCTGTGTGTGACTTTGCTCCTGTCCATGTAGAGAACTGAATCTCCTCACATAGATAGATAATTCTCCACACTGCAGATAAACTGTGTTGGTTTTCTCAAATTCTATAAGAAGTACGGTTGAAATTTATAATATAAATAGTATAAAAGTTTAAAGTAGTTTTAAAAAAGAGTATAGTCAAAGGCACAATCTCAAAAAAACTTTTTTCAAAAGAAACATTTTGACATTTCATAGCAAGAAAAGCACACATGTAACTAATAACATTAATGATGGCTTCATTCCAATTAGCTGCTGGTATTGTGCACTGGCACAACTTACTGGGACACTAAAATAGAATGGAGCCATCATCAGCGGTTATTGCTGTGCTGTTTCTGTTACAAGTCACAATGTCTGCTGTAAAAACAGTCTACTGCAACCTTTGAAAGAGGTGGTATTACGCTCATTTTCAGGTTCAAACTCTTATTTAGTGGTTGTACCAGAACAGGTTTACATGGTTGAAAATACCATAATTTTGTCATACTGCAAAATTGCTGCAGCTCCTCTTTTCACTCTGTGTGTTGAAGGCTTTGTTTTAGCTATGGAGTGATACATCTTGTCTCTACATGATCTTTGTTGAGAGTTGCACATGATCAGCTCCTAGTTAAGGACTACTAGCCAATCAGAAGCAGAGTAGGGCAGGTCGTGAGAAGCTGGTAAACAGCTTCGATACAGCTGTATATCCCCTTACCGGCTTAGCAACATGGACTGGAGCAAGAGTTTCAGAGTGGTGAGTTATTAATCTGTAACAAAAGTATCTTTCATCCATAAAGCTGAGCTCTGTCTCTACATCACAGTAACAACTTTATGTCCACTGACTGCCTGGAGGGTAGCTAGTGTTTGGAAGGGAGAGGGGAGGTGTGCTGCTGTAGCTCACTGGTTTTCCACCGGCGATTTAGAGGGAGTGTAGGACTAGCCGCTTAGCGAGCGTTTTGCTTTTTGAAAGGGAAATGGCTGGACTACAAATGAGCTGTTTTCAAGTAGTTCAGAGCAGTGTTTTCTGTGGGAGATGGGAACTCCCTTTGGGGTGGACTTTGGGCTTTTTCACTTTGCAAACCTATTACATGCACAAAAAATGTATAAAAAATATAGGTATAAAAAAAAATATAACTCAATAAAGGAGAGGGAAAAAGGCAAAAAGCATAATACCACCTCTTTAAAGTTGATAGAGCCAACATGTTAGCAAACAGTTATCTTTCTACACATATGGACACATGGAAATCATAAATTTGGAGACATGTCTTTTGCCTTTGCAAGACAGTGCTGACCTTTGACAGAATAGAGAGCCAAAGAATCCAAAGTGGAGGAACCTATCATAGCTTATTAGCTGTGAGGCACTGTATTGAAACTCCTTCATGTGAGTATAAGCTGCTCCACAAAAGAGGAATGGTTTACACACAGTTATGAGACAAGAGTTGATACATATTTTCAATAAACTGAGCCTATTGTTCAGGGTTGGTGGTGATGGCGCATATATAAGATGCTTGCCTTTGGTGTAGGAGACCTAGGTTCAATTCCCACTATGAGACATCTACCATTGTGTCCCCGAGCAAGACACTTAACCCCTAGTTGCTCAACTACAACTACTAACAAATGTTGTCAGAGTTAATGAATAAACAAGTTGCTAAAACCTAACAAAATGAATTTAAAATTTTTTATTTGGTCTCATGTAATGGACCACCATGGAACACAGTTCATTGCTTTAAACATCAGTTTAAAGCAGCAGTGCAGTGAAATAGCTTTTCCTATAAACTCTACCTTCAGTCCGTGTGTGCTTGGGATACTGCAGCGCTTTGTCCTCTGTGACCCGCAACGTGTTTTCACATTCCTTTTTTTCTCAAGGTAGCTTATGGAATATTTTTTCCAGTCAAGCAGATACATCAGAGATGAATTCATTTTCTTCCTCGTGCCCTCCCTCCTCCTCTGCGCACATCAACCAGGCTGGGAGGGGAGTTTTTACAGGGAGCGCCACCACGGCACGTGCCGCCTCGTATTTAATTACTTAGAGTGTCTTAGTAGGCAGGCATATAGGGTGCAGCAACAAGACAGCAATTCCATTTCACTGCGCCCCCCTGAGATTTAGCTACGTGTGCATTTAGAAAGCGGATTGTGCGTGTGTATGTGTAGCCTATTTATTTTTCTGCATGCTGCTCCACATGCACACTCTGACGATGTGGGAGTCCATATGCGTATATGTGTGTCTAGATGGCAGGAGTGCCAGGTCAGAGATAGTGGGAGGAGAGTAATTGTAGGCTTTACTGTTTCTCTGTAGGTATGTGTGGCCCGCATATTTTGTGTTGTGTATTGTAAGTATGTAGGTGTTTCAGCATGATACATCTGTATCTGGCTAAAAAACAATGATAATAGTAATAAAAATAATCTTTATTTACAGAGCGCTTTTCATGTTACAAAGTGCTTCACAAGGGCAGGAAATAAATGCACAGTCATAAAACTGTCAGGTTTTTAAAAGAAAACAGATAAAACCAAGAACAACAGTTGAAACTGATAAAATCAAGAAGCATATAAAACCAAGGAGTTAAAATCAGAATCAGCTTTATTTCCAAGTAGGTTTACACATACAATACTTTTGTGACTTGGTTCTCAATAAACATAAACCTGTATGAAGTCAAATATAATCAGGAAAGGCTCTCTGCTAAAAGTATGTTTTAAGAAGTCTTTAAGCTCTGTCTCCTTTGGTTTGCAGCTGGGCCTCTGGAACAGAAAGCAGACCTCTGCCCGAGCATCGCAAAGTACGAGCTGGTGCGTACAGTACTAAACGGTCAGATATATAGCAGGGCGAGAGGCCATGAAGAGAATTAAAAGTAATTAGTAACATTTTAAAACTATTCTAAAATATACTGGGAGCCAGTGTAAAGAGGTTAACACAGGAGTGATGAGATGAGCTAGTCAAGTCAGCTAGTCAAAAGGCTGTTGCAGTAATCCAGCTGTGATGAGATGAAGGCATGTAAAATTGCACAAGTTGCGGTGTGGTGCTCAAAACTTAGATTCAAACCAGGTGCCAAGATTCCTCATAACAGGCTTCACATGATCCACTAAGGAACCAGCAGATGGCAGAATTTGATTTGCCTTGTGCTGGGACCCAATGACCAGGATCTCTGGTCATGACCAGGATTTGTCTGAGTTCAGCTGGCTAAAATGCAGTTTTGATATCACAGAGACATTAAGTGAACTCAGCATTGCAGGGTCTGTGGATCTGATGGACAAGCACATCTGTGTATCATCTACATTAACATGAAAAGAGACACCATGTCTCTCAATAATGTGTCCAAGGGGAAGCATGAAAAGAATGAAGAAAATAACATAGGTCCTAAAACTGACCCCTGAGGCACACCATACTCAAGAGAACAAAATGAAGAGACATAGTTTTCAGAGACACAGAACCTCCAATTCAACAGGTACAATGAAAACCAAGGCTGTACCAGAAATCCCCACCCAGTGCCTCAGCCTGTCTAACAGGATGCTGTGTCAAAATCTGCGCTAATGTCCAGGAGTACAAGAACTGAATACATGCCATCATTTGCAGCCATTGAAAGATTGTTGGTTACCTTAAGCATTCCAGTCTCAGTGTGGTGATACTTCCGGAAACCAGATTGAATCTTTTCAAAGGTGTTATTTTCCAGTGCATGGAGCAGTTGTTTGCACACTATTTTGTCTAAAGTTTTGGATATAAAAAGGAGCTTGGAAATTGGTGTGTGGTTTTGAGGGAGGGATCCAGAACAGTTTTTTTTAGCATTGGTTTTGCACAAGAAGTTTTAAAATTATCAGGGACACAGCCAGTAGATAAGGAACACAAATTGAATTACACATTCACTGAGAAATATTGGCGACCCAACCACTGAGAGAAGAAAGAGGTCTGCTCAAAAAGTTGCTAGATTACTAGTAAACTTTAATTTCAGTTCGACTTTTGTATGTATGATTGAATTCACTAATCATTTAATTTTGAATGATACGTTCTTACATGAGAATTGCCCTGTGTACAATAGGTCCTACAAATAGACAGTAAGCGTTAGATTTTATGAAGGTTAGTGTTGATTGGCCCTAGCAGGTAGGAGAGGTAGGTAGAAGTAGGTGTTTTTAAATGGAATGAAGCCTGAAGGCCTTGTGGCTTTTCAAAGCACAGAGCTTGAACTACTTTTGAACTGCTGTTGCCTTTTATTTTAAAGCAAAGCTCTGGTATGGTTTTAGCACTACGGAATATAGATTGCAGTGCAGAGTACAGGACATGGTATTTTGTGTCCACCAGTGCTGAAAAATGAGTGCACTCATGGTTGTGTAAAGTGCTTTATTTGAAAAACAAATCCATTAATTCTTGTGTTTCAGTCCAATACGGGTGATTTTTATGTTTCAGAAATCCAGAGATAAAGTCTGACAGCAGCAGTGCTGAGAGAATTATCTGAGGCGAATTACATGTAAGAGAGGACATTATGTTTTATATACTAGAGACAGTCTGCCACAGATATTCTGCAGAACATGCCAGTTCATCACTGTGCACTTTCATAACATGTATATGTGTCTGCGTTTCTTTCCTGGCTTTATGGCTGGCACGTGCAATGTCCCCTATGGGGCCTATCAGATGTGCAGGGGAGGCAAGCTGTAGCTTCCATGCTGTTTCCTAGTCCTTCAGTCACTATGTAAGAACATGCTGTTACTCTGGTGAGAGACGGCTGTTACAGAGTATGGATTCAGGACACTAACAATAAAATTGCCTGTTACAGACTGCTGTGGTGGTGTAATCTACTTGACTGGTAGCATGTAATGTCACCCATGAAGAGACCTTGTAGATAAAAAGCTCCGACAGACTGTTTATGTGGAGAGAATCCTGTGACTCTTTGTGAGTCACTACTCTGTGTTTGACAATAGCAGTGGTGCAGTAGGGCTCAGGGTTAACTGCTGCTCTTGTTGTCTCTACAGAGCAGCCCGAGCATTCGGAGAATACCTTTCCAATACCAATCCGGAGAACCGCAACGGAGCAGGTAGGTGACACACACAGTGTTGAAATAAAATCATTATGTAGCACCCAATAACTAGCCTTGTCAGCTGAAGTAAACAGAGGAAAAGAGTAGCTTTCTGCTACTATATATAGCATGAAAAAATGAGTTTCCATGAGTTAGTTACAAGCCTGCAGCATTGTAGAAGGAGCATCTATCCTCCGTGACCCTCCAGGACATCTGGGCTTTTGATTATGCCAAAGCTAATCATGTACTGTACCAGCTCATCCATTTCCAAATATTTCATCATTCCTCTCCTTGCTCTTTTCTATCACTCAGCCACCTTTCTCTTCTTATCCTCCCGAAAGCTCTGCTGTCTCGCAAATGTTTACCACTCTGTTGCCAAAGCTACAAATCCCAAAGCACAACAGTCTCTCTTCATTTACATTTATATTTAATGTATTTATCTGGTACTCCTTTACAAAAGCTGTATAAATTACAGCTTTCTAAACCCAGAGATTTACTTCTCTTCATCTTATTTTCTTTCTCTGTATCTCCAGATCATCTCTTGTCTGACACCTTCCCCGGACAGGACTGCGACTCTCCAGACGTCAGCCGCTTGCATAACAACAATCTGCCACCACGGAGCCGCTGTTTGCCCATTGCTAAACCCAACCAGTCCAGCCAATCCAACCCCAGTGCTCATCTACAGTCTCAGCCTCAGGCCAACACCCTCCAGGCTCAGGCACCTTTGGGCCCCTCCAAACGTCGACTCTCTGTTGAGCGCAGCCTCTCCTCAGAGGACCCACCACGTGCCAGAGAACCAGAGCAGAGCGCGGTGGTGAAGCCGGCCAGGGTGTACACAATCACCAGGGAAGGAGGGATGACCCTGGGGGGCCGTGGCAGTGAGGAGAGCCTGGAGCTGGAGGTGCTGAAGGGCACCAGGGAGCAGCTTCTGTCCCAGGCCCCTGCCTCTGGCAACCACAACCCGTCCTGCACCACCCAGCCATCCGCCACAGCCGCCCGTGGTAGCCATCACCGTAGTAGCCATCACCGCAGCAACAATCACCATGCCCACCCGCATCACGGAGGCTTGACATCATCGTCGCAGCCGCTGCAGAGCTCAGGGAGTGCCAACAACATCCGGGACTGGGGGATGAGGAGAGGGGGGTCGCGGGACGACTACACCCCAGACTGCGTGGCCTGCATTCGGGCTCCGTGTCAGAGCCAGCGCTCCCTGGACATGGAGACCTCACCGCGAGATGGAGGAAAGCATCGCAAGAAACTGGAGAGGATGTACAGCGAGGACAGAGCGTCTACTGATGACAGGGGTAAAGATAGATGAATGGGAAGATGGATGGGAGCTTAAATAAATATGAAAGAGAGAAGAGAATTTGCTATGCGGTTCATGTATTAACCTATAATTTGCAAAGTAACAGGTGTGACAAAATGTTTGCAATACCTAAACATACCGTGAATTTTATGTGAATAAAAAAACAAAACAAAGTGTAATTCACCCCATTCACCCTCAGATCTTTCACTTCACACTTTGTCATCATGCATTCACTTGCCTCCTCCGCTAATTGTAAGGGCCGCTTTTGAATGTTCTGCTCGCTGATGCCACGCCTTCCTTTTGTTTTCTCTGTTTGCAGAGGACAATCCTAATAGCTGGTTCCCCAAAGAGAATATGTTCAGCTTTCAGACAGCCACCACCACCATGCAGGCGTGAGTATGGCATGGAAATCCGCCTTCACTCCCACTCTGTACATCACAGTGTCTTACTGCCTGACCACCGTGTTGGCAGGATATGGCTCCGTTTTTTTCCTTCCAACACTTACAGCTCAAATGTAGTCTTCTACTACAAAGTCTTAATGAGCTTTTCACACATTTCTCACTTGTTGGTTATGAAGCCAGAACAACTTGTTATAATAAGTATAAGTATTGGCCAGTTATAGTTGTCACTTCTGTTATCCACCTTTTAGGTAACGTCTCTGAGCTGTGGACGTTATTGACTGCCATAAATGAAATACATTTTTTAACCAAATTGGAATGAAATTTTTCATTTGATTAAGCATAATAAACAAATCAGTTTAATTGAAAAAATGTTAAATGCACTTTTCTTTTCCAGTTCAAATTGGCAGAAAATGTGCAGCCAAAACTTGAAATCAAATTTGCAAAGTGAACTTTTGCACATTGATAATGCAAAGAGAAATTTGTGCCCTTTGTATGGTATTTTTTATACCCACCTATTACGAAAATTGCCAGTTTCATTTGACATAGTCAAATATCAACACATAATTTAAAATCAAATGCGGTCCATTTTGCAGTTCTATTTTTAAATTTAAGTTGCACTTTGCTAAAAGACAACATGTCAAGCTTGCTTTTTTGTTCCTGTTGTTTGCAAAAACAGCGGTGATACTATTTTTAATAGTTACAGTGGATGGGCAGGTTTTGAAATCATGAATAATTGAAACTCCAGCAGAGCAGAGGTGACAGGAGAAATAAAAAGGATTGGCAAGCATGACATGCATATTTCATTTCATTTATCAGAATCACATAATTTATATCATATATAATTTATCATTTATGTTGTTAATAATAGATTGTCAGTGTGTTGTCTGGTTTCTTATTTGTAGACCGGATGCCAAAACTATCTCTGCAGACCATGGCATGCCCAATTGGTTAACATGGGCGCTGAAAGGAAGCATGCAGCACTTCTTAGTGCTTCTCATAGGTGTCATTCACACTGGGGACGCTGGGGACATGTGCCCACCTCTTTTTTTAAAGCATAATTTGTTTTTAAAAAATGTTCTGAAATATAGCTTGCAGTTAAATAACAAATGAAAATACCTTTAGAAAAGTTTATTTGCACATTAAGAAAACATGCAATTAAAATATAGAAGAAACAAATGTGCATTGTCAAAAAAAAGTAACTAAAGCTAACAAGCTACTGATTATAAAATGACCCAAAAACATGCGGCACCAATCAGTAACTCTAGCAACTTCTATGCACAAAAAAGGGAGCGTTTTCCGTTGTCCCCCTTTGAACATGACAAAAGAGGAGGAAGACTTAATCATGCCTACATATATGTTGCCTCAGCAGGGATGATATTACATGAGAAAAGTTGTTCTACAGAGAAGCAGATCTTAAAGCAACATAGAATGCCTGAGAGCTCCACTGTATTATATTCTAATTATATATTTGGAAATGTCACCTGCCACTCCACCATAATTTTGTGTTTCCTTTGACATAAATAAATGCATTTCCACCATAAATTTGTGCAGAAACTTTCACCAGAATGCAGGAAATTAAGTGTTTAGAGATCAAAATTTTCTGGGGGAGGTCACCCCAGACCTCCTGTTCATGTATCTCGGCATTGAGGATATCTTTAAAACACCGTTTAAGGATCTTTTTGTCACGTTCTTGTGAACCTAATATCACTTATCATGACGCATCATGAGCCATATGTCATCACTTTTCAACACAAAGTGATGCCCTTAGTGGTTCCACCTCCCTTCTGAACTTGCCGTTAGTTAGCAAGCAATCAGCTAGCAAACTCATCAGCTTAGTGGCTAACAAAGCAGTTCATTTTCACATTTCTCAGTTAACTGAATTCAAGCATTTTGTAACTTTTTCTTCATAACTGTCGGTTAACCATTGTGAAGCTATTTATACCCCAACGGAGGAGGAAAAGTGGTGATACACAGCTACCAAGTTGCAATAGCTTCCTCCATTTTGGACTCTCTAGCTCTCCGTCCCCTCAAAGATCAGCTCTGGCATTGTTCAGTGGGCAAGTTCGTGGGTCAGAGTTTAACTGGATGCAAAACATTTGCATGGATTTACTTCACCCCCACGAACAAATCCACTAATCATGGTGATTCCTTTGGAAATAATTGATTTAAATGCTGGTTAGAGAGATCTTTACTTGGACTTTTTGACATTGATATTCTCCCATTTAAAGAATAAAACACCAACTTGTCAACTTGAACAATTGACCAGATTTAGAAAGTAAAGAATGTGTGTTGGTCTAAACTGTTCACATGGATAAACCAACACACACACGCACACACATGTGCCCTCCACTCTTTGCGACTAGTAAATTATCACCTATCACCCAGATCTTATAATTATGACCCTCAAATAGACTTGATCTTTCCCCTCGTCTCTCCCACGCTCCCTCTTCTCTCTCTACATGTCAGCCTTTCTCCTCCCTTTTTCCATCTGTTTCCATCTGCCAGTGTCACTATTAGGGTCAGACTGATATATGGGCATGACACTGGCCTGTGATTAAAATGACTGGCCAATCAGTGTTTCACCTCCAATAAGATGGGTTTGTTGTGATTTGATTAATTACACATTTTTTGTAGAATTGATCAAATTATTTGTCTATGGACAGTCTTTAAACTCTTCTAATGAGACATTTTGATCAGGTAGGTATACATATTATCCTCATCAGAGCTGTAGAAAGAATCTGTCCTTGCTCACATATTTTGAGTTTATATACTTTTCTACTCCAGGTGAGTTTTTTTTTGCTCATTGTATCCTCACCTGAAAGTGAGAACTGCAACATAAAGCAATCTGTGATGTGTGTGTGGAGTATTTGGCTGGACCTGTTGCTAACCTCTCTTTCATTTTGTCCTCTCTTCTTCCTCTCCTCTCTATGTGGTGGCTTTCCAAACCACGACTGTAGAATATCGTGAGTAACCCTTTCAACCGCCCCCACTGTTCTTCCTCATTGCTCTTTCTTTTTCTCACTCTGTCAGTTAGGTAACATGTCTTGAAATGCCTTTTCCTCATGTGGCTTTGTGCTATTCAGTCTGCTGTGTCCTCAACCCAACAACCTCAGTGTCTTATGGACTGTGTGTTTGAAGTTATTGATTCAGTCAGTAGTCAACTGAAGTGCAGGGAAGGTACTGTACACCGGGAATGAAATGAGAATCAGCAATACTGAATGCACAGGAATATTCTAGTTACACAAATAGTGTATCAAGTTAAAGGGTTAAAGTATCGGTGTACCTCGTCTGAATAGTGACAGCTGCTTAACTGATGCGATCTTTCATACATTACACAGCAACACATTGCAACACTGACTTAATACACACACTTAATGTCTGCCTAAAGCTGCTTATGCAGCTATCATGAAAAGCATATTGGTCAAAGCAAAGCATTGCGTCCAGCAACGCCATTTCATTGTGGTTAATTGTTAAGAAAGGCACAGAAGAAGCCGATGAATAAGACATGTAACAATAGGTATTCATTTATCTAGCATTAGTGCTGCTTTAGCATTATAAAAGAGAGAAGTCACATTAATTAATTACTCAGTCAAACTCAATAATAAGTTCTTTGCATGTGCAAATTACATTCAGCCAAATATGGTTTCTTCACAATAAAAAGGAGCAGCACCACTCTCAAACGTAGAGAGTGGGCTGTATGGTTTTGTAGATCAAAGAGGAAGAGATCAGCAGAGTGGTCAGTCTCTCTCTGCATAAATAATCACGCAGATCGCACACTTTTCTCTCTCTGGTTCTCTGGTTAGCAGGTAGCTTAGTGAATCTGATTAGAAGCAGCTTGATCTTTCGGTATATAAAGCTAACATTAGCTCAGCAAGTACACAGCAAAGCTGACAGCAGTTTCATTAGTTAGGGGTCCTTAGATATGAAAACTTTCACATTGTGACAAAACTCTTAACAGCAGTTTGTAACTATAACCAAAAGTGGGCTAGCGCTACTAACTGTGTAGCAGATGTACTGTAAAATCCTGTTAAGCATATTGGCTGTATGATCACAAAAGCATTTCTTTATGAAATCTGAGACATAAAATTGCCATTACTGAACAGGAATATTGCCATGTAATTTTATTTCTAACCACTTGGTTGAATTTCGGTGGGAAATCTACTGGATTGCTTCAAAAGCACAAAAGAGGAAGAGGGCTCTCAGCTTTCAGAGATTCTGGTGATGGCAGCTAGTGGAAAGAGTGACAGGCTGAAGGAAGAGTCACTTCCAACATGTTCATCTTTTTCAGGGAGAGGGAAGAGAAAGTGATTGAGCTTATGGGGGAATGGTGTAATAGCAATGCACAGGCAGAGCTATGCAGGCTGTTGGATAATAAGCACTGTACGCAGTCCACTGACTTCAGCCCGTTGTTTGTCGTCCCAGAGCTCGTCAGCTGTCGCTCTGTCAGTCAGAACCAGGCTGCAGGACATGACTTCATTTCTAGACATACGTTGTCACTGATGATTCTCATTATGCTTGACATCCTGTCAGAACCATTACTGTCCCCTTCAGGAAAGACACACCCACGCTCACCAACTTACACTGGCAGAATGAGAAATAACATCGCTAGACAGAAAAAAATAAAGTAAAAAAATAAAGTGTTATAATTAATTTTTAAATAAGATATAAATGAAAAAGACTCAAAGATGACAGCGAGTCATTAGTATCAGGAGTTGGCTGGCTAATGACTTAACGATATAGTTATCTCACATTGGATAGGCAGTTCCCTGGTTACTCCTCAGTGTCTCTCTTGTAGATCCCTATCCTGCATTGTGGTCCTAGTGTGTGTGTGCGTGTACTACCTGAGAATATTCACAATGTCTTCCTCCTCTGGTGGAATAAACATCCCTGTGCTGCTAACTCTAACCACTCAGCAGAGTTAACCAAACCTCTCACTAACCCTTATGGACTTAATACCCCTTTATTGTTGCCCCTTTATTGTTGCCCCAAACCATCATGAATGGAACTTTATATTCATGCCTGAACCCAACTAGACTCAAAGGGCTTAAATCTAGTACATTTTTCTTAATGTTGTGGCATTTCACTCAGGGCTATTTAAAAAAATAACTACTGTAGTAGGACTGTATGATTTCTGAGTTAAATCAGTTCTGGAAAGATTATTTACCCTTTGGGCCAGTTTGGGTTCTGACAAAAATGATTTGGTGTTACGTCAGGTGCAGCGAAAACTTTAAACTTTATTTCCCCACAAAACCACTTAACGCTTTGACATCCTGGCAGGGCTTTCCGAGGCATTGCTGAGAAAAAGAGGCGGAAAAGAGAGCAGGAGGCAGCCACCATGATGGAGAGGTACCGTGTCCTGGCTGTCCTGTCCTGTCCTGTGTGGTTCCCAACTGTCCCTGTTACAGTTCCCTTATTACACAGCAAAGAAATACCCTTCTTGACAAGACTCATCATCAGTCTCAAATCAGATCTTTAAAACTCGTTTTTTCTTAAATGACCATTTGGCTGATTTTTAACCTTATCTCTATGTGTACTGTAAATTGTCTAATAGTGGTGATGGCACAATGGATAAGACACATGCCTCCCCACTGTGACCCATCCACCATTGTGTCCCTGAGCAAGACACTTAACCCTTAGTTGCTCCAGAGGCGTGTGACCTCTGACATGTATAGCAATTGTAAGTCGCTTTGGATAAAAGCGTCAGCTAAAATGAATAAATGTAATAGCCTAGGGCCTTTATTAACCTCATCTGCCAAGACAACCTTTTTCTTTTCGAGCTACTGACAATACTTCCAGCACAGGCGTTTCACTGTTAAAACACTCCAGCAGCTCCTAAAGCCCCCCTGTTTCTGATAGGCTTTTACTTTGAAACATCTAACTATTGAGTTTTATTGACATGTTACATCGTTCAACATCTGACAATGTACTTCCTCTACAACCTCTGCAAAAAGGGATTGAACAGCCTCCTGTGCGCACAATCCACTGGCACAGCAATCCCACTTTTAGTTCATCGATGTGTGACGCCTCCTGATGGCCAGCACTCGGCTATAAAAACATTTAATAACCAAGATTACTGCATACAGCAGGCAAGATAAAATATGTGTATGTAAACTTCAATTTTTAAAACCTTCAAAGGCCTTTTTGAGGAAACTGAATACATTGCAACAAATACACCGTTAACAAAAAACAGCAAATTAACCAGATGCTTTATTTATTGTGTACTTATTAACTGTACTTGTTATTAATAATTCTAACAAGTGATAGCTATAAATAGCCAATCAGCGATTTTTCCTTTTAACCACAAGAAGCAAGATGAACAACATAAACAATTACCACTAAAAATGCCACTAAAATGTGAAATCCAGCTTGTAAATAATGTCATAAAAATGTCTGAATAATACGGATCACGTGATGACACATTCAACAATGCTCTTAATAATTTTCATTAACAGTAGGTGAAATGACGTCATGTCGATCACATCCTCTGTCACCTCTGTTATTATCTCTGAAAACATGATTACTCACGCTCCTCACGCCCCTCTCGCTCCTTTAATGTTAACAGTTTGATTCTCTGACTATAAATGCATATAAATAGAACAAATTGTGTCAAATTGCGTCTGTGCCTCCATATCCTGCTGACTCTTCTTGTTCCACGTATGCTTAGTTACTATGTTTTTACACAGGAAACAAAACATTCTTTGTCCTCCTGTCCTCAACTGCTGCTATAGGGCCATCACAAACCTTGTAATAGCTTCCTATGGTGTGTGTGTGTGTGTGTGCAGTGAGTCCTTGAGGCTGTGGGTTTAATCAGTGTTCCTCACTGAACACTGACGTGTGAAAGCGAGGTCTATCAATACAAGGCCGTAGCTCACTGCTCAGTGGCTGGCACTCAAAGTGAACAAATCGATCAGTATTTGGCAACAGACCTCACAGCCACCGAGGCTTGATACATGCCATTCGTTGTTTGAGCCTATGTGTGTATTTGTGTGTGTTGCAGTGAAGGAGAACTATTTTTCTTTTAATAGAAAGTTACATCTCAGTTTCATAAATAGAATTATGCATGTTTGAATAAACAAACTGTTTCTTTGCAAAGCATTTAGAAAGGTCACAGGCCGATTGAGAGGGTTGTGTGAGATAGCTGCAGACCCACACATATGCATGCACACACACTAACATGAATTTGACTTGGTGGTCTTGATGCGCGGGTGTTAGTGATTTTAAAAGCTGTTGTCACTCAGTGTGAAAATATAACACTGGCTGACGGATGATGGATCCCCCTCTCCTCTGAGTCATCCCTCTATTTTAGGCTCTGCCTTCACGACTCCTGCAATCACAACTGACATGTCAACATTGTTCTTTGGAATGCCTTAAAACTGCACTATGGATACAAAATAGCTTGAGAATCCCAAAACTAAAATGGAACGCATGGGAGGTGTGCGTGCTTTGCATTTTTCTGTGACACCTCGCTGCTCTTTGGTTAGGGATACACTAATACATCAGTTGATATTGGCTTTTTATTAACGACAAGGCCTTTTGTTTGACTTTGTTGTTCAGTACGAAGTGACATAAACAAGCTAGCAATAAATAATTAGGGAGGTGGGTCTTATTAAAAATAATGAGTAGTGGGGTTGTGGACCAGCCATATCAGTTTTCAGTTGTCTTATCACAGCTTCACAAAGCTACCTACTTGCAATTCAGGGAAGTTTGCACTGGTAATAAGGCTCAAAATGCAGCCTACTGAGACTAAAAACAACAAAATAATAAAAATCCTGCATCAAGGCTGTGATTGTTTTGCATATTCAAACAGTACAGCCCACATCATACAGCTGTGGATTGTCAGTACCAGATGTTTCAGCTAAATAGACCAATTTAATAATCAGTTTCAGCACAAACGTCAGCACACTGGCTACAGGTTAGCTAACCTTAGCTTTCAAATTATATAGCAGGGACAGAATGAACAAAGCAGAATCCATGGCTTCACTTCTCATAACCAGAGATAATACCATGTCAACAAATACACACCGAGAGCACAAATCTGTGTGTAGTATTTTTCTCTGTTAGATCTGTTTTGAGACAAACTCTATAGTTCAACTGTTCACGATGCTGTTTATAGAACTGTTGTGACTCAAGACAATTAATGTAGCTAGCTATCATTGACTTTACGTTTTGACTGAAAGTAACCCTTAAAAAAATTAATTGCCATGATGTAGATATTTTTCAATGTGTAAAATCATTTGAAATTCATTTTATTAAGTCGATATATCGCCCAGCTCTAAAATGTACTCCAGTGATTGCACGTCAGTAAAGTTGGGGGACTAGCAAGAGACAGATTTGAAAACAATCAATCTCCAAAGCCTTTGAAATCCTACATTTCCCACAATGCATGGGGTATTTCAAACCCCATGCTCCCTGTTTGTAATCCAGGCTTTCCATTAAAAATGGAGCTGATGACATCACTTGGATTATTTTCTCTGACTTTACAAGGTCCTTCCAAAGCCACAAAAGCCATTATTACAGCTGTTTTGTAATAAATTTCCCAATTATGGGTGAACTGATCTTCACGTGTAAAATCAGTGGAGTTCCCTTTAAACAACTGTTCATTTGAGTGCCAGTAATTTTGCAATACTCCAGCTGAGGCAGTGTGTACCTTCTACAAGAAGCTTTTGTTTTCATACTGTAGCTTCAGATAGGGGTGACATGACCATATTTCTCATTGAGGTGAAAAGTTGGCCTATGATATCAGCATGAGTGTGAGGGTGAAATTAGCCTATAAGATGCCCCCACCACTTTTAAATCGTTTGTGTGGCAGCATTTTGGGTATCCAGTGGAAACAATAAACGGCAACAGAGAGACAGACAAGACATGAACAATATGTAAGCAACATTTCAAAATGCTACTGCATTGTTTTGCAATTTCTTGACTTTCAGTCATTGAAGACTTCTTAAAAATAGTGTTAAACTCTCGTGAAATTCTTGCAAACCCAATATCATGGATCGTCTTGTCTGATGAGCTATGTGTATTGTCTCATCTTAACTTAAAGAGTGACAGACATTTTTGCCTTTATTCCAAAAAGGATAGAGAGAGACAGGAAATTAGGTAGAGAGGGGATGACACACAGCAAAGGGCTGCAGGCCAGAGTTGAACCTGGGATGCTGCCATAAGGACTCGGCCTTGTACATGGGGTGCGCGCTTTACTGACTGAGCTAGACAGCAACCCGCGTTTCTCTTTTCTTATTCTCTTTCTGTCGCACCCCTTTTCTCGAGCGGTATGAAACATGAATCATACAATGCCTTTGATGAAAAAAATGAAATCCAGGCATTTGTTTGTCACCGGGGGCACAACCTGTGCGGAAGTAATGCCAGGCAGGCACCCAACAGAGCAGGAACGTAATTTAAAGATTTCTTCTCTTGCAGGGGTTTATAAAAACTTTGATATGACATGTCTGAGTAACTTCAAACACTCATCATTTAAAGAATTACACTGGCACCTTTTTTGGTCCAGTGTATCAAGTGCATCAATCAATCAAACCATTGGTACCAAAACCACCTCAATGTCAGATCTTTTAATGCTAAACTGTTAGCAGGCAGCATAGATACAACAATAACAATTAGTTATCTAGAATGTTTCCTTTAAATTCCATCATTTTAAGGCCCAGCCACACCAGAAAATTCATCTGTGCATCTTTGTAAAAAAAGAGATGACCTACAGACTTGCTAGTGACACATGGACTACTCACAGGTTGCTAGTGTTGACTGTAGCTTGCGAGATAAGGCACTAGCCAGCCAGGACCATTCTCTCCGCTAGCGAGTTTACTGTCATTTAGCAAGCTCTTTAGCTTGGTTCCTAAAGGAACAATGAGTTCTCCTTGCTTGTTTTGTATAAAACAAATAAAAGTCTTATTTTATATTTTTTATTTTGTATTATTTTATGTATAAAATATTAGACTGGGACTTTAAGGTACTCTGTAGCATAATGTGTGCTAACATGTTACTGTGTGCTCGAGATGGAGCTATGTTCTGGAGAAACAGAGCTGATTTTGGTACCAATCTTCTTGTCACAGCTCTGGCAAGGATCCACAGTGGCTTCTTGCCTGTGCTTTCTGTTCATCTGTTTTTATAAGTTTATCTTTTCATTCCCTGGCTCTGTTCCTCTGTTCTGCTCCTCGTTCTTGATGTCTTTGTCTCCTTCTTCTCTTCCCTAAAATGGTAGAAATTTCCGCAAACACCTTAGGATGGTGGGCAGCCGCAGGATGAAGGTCCAGAGTAAGTCTTTCACTGTATTTGTCTGCATGTACTGTATGTGTGTTGATGTCAGTACGTTTTCATTCATTCATGCTCCACAACATGTACCATCATAACATCGGACTTGAGGTTCATCAGAATTTCTTTGTGCTTTATGCATGGAGCAACAGAACTGTGCATGTTTATAGGATTATTGTGTTAAGAGTATGTTTATGAATCATTCCTTAAAACCCTTGTTGTTAACTGATTTTCGTTTAGACTGGTCTATGTGTATGTTAGTGTGTTTCTGCAGCTGAGACTGTGCACTTAAATTTGCTTTAGAAAAAGAATTGTGTCATTTTTATCAGTCTATGGAAACCCCTATGACTCTAACCCAGGAGATTGAGATGAATCAACTAAAGATTGCAACATTTTTCACTGGAATTGGCTCAGTTTTCTCAAAGCCTTTGTCTTTCAGTGATACAAATAGACACCAAAATGAACAATAGTCCTGCCCATGAGTGGGGCTTGGTGATAGGAATTTGAATTTGATCAATAATATTAATAAGAATGTCATTTACTGAGATATATCGATATATAATATCCTATAATGAATAAATGCATAATACATTTTCTCTCGATTCTGTCAAAAATGTTCTCAGTATTGTAATCGATTAGCCACGCAAGTCATTTTCCAAGCAAAAATGCCAAACATCTGCTGATTCTGCATTCACAATTGGGAGAATTATCTTATGTGGCAGTAAGAAAGATATCTGTGTTTGGACTGCTGGTCAGACAAAAGAAGGAATTTGATGATTTCATCTTAGGCTTTGGGGAGTTGTGATGGGCATTTTTCATGTGTAACCACACCCATCAGTGATGTCACAATGTACTGACACACCATGGCGCACACTGCTACATCACTGCAACAAGGTGGTTTAGGCCAGCAAAACTCTGATATTTATTGCTCTGTATGAAATTTTGTTAGATTTTAATTGCAATTTGCTTGGAATCCATCATAAAGAAATGTTGTCCAAATGACAAAAAACGGCAGACATCAAAACAGAATCCTTGTTTTTGGGGTTTATGATCCTTTAGAGAGTGTAGATGTGTGTCTGAGTGACTCTCTTCCCCCCAACTCCATCAGCCTTTGTCGACCGTCGAGCCAAGAGTTTCAGCCGCTCGTGGAGTGACCCCACCCCCGTCAAGCCTGACTCACTCCAGAGACATGACTCCAGAGACAGTGAGTCGATGCGCTCTCAAACACTTATGCACATGAATAAAAACACAGACACTTACTTTGCATAGTACATGCACACTTTTGTACAGACACGAAATGCTCATAAACACATAAGCACCTGACTCCAGAGACAGCGCATCTTTGCTTCCACACAAAATGCTCAAAAATGTCCCTAGAAACACATGCACACACTTTCAACACAAACACACACGCTAGTATGCAGACACACAAGATATGGTTGCTTTCATAGACACATCAAAGCTATAGACACACACGGAGCAAACGTACATGCATCTACATTACCACAGAGACACATGCCCTCTTGTTGTAGTGAATGACCAGAACTGTGTGTCTACAGTTTATCTGTTTGTAGTATGTGCTGGCTGTATCTCCACTACTCTCTGTATCTGTACTTGGCTGTTGTCATCCATCCACACAGCCATCCTCATTTTTCAACCTGTTGTCCATCCGCCAAATGCTTTTTGTTGTAGCGGTCTGAAACTGGCTGGGTGCATAATGAGAGTGGTGTCGTGTCATTTTGTGTCGTCTAAAGTAACAGGTGCAACGCTATTAAATGGAGCACCCTCCTCCCTAATTGTGTTTGTGTGTTATCCTTTCATCTCACCCTTTGTTCCTGTGTGTGTGTGTGTGTGTGTGTGTGTGTGTGTGTGTGAGTCAGGTGGCGAGCTTCAGACTTCCTCAGGGACACTAGATGAAGGGCTGGATGAGGATGCTGACTGGGAGGAGGAGAGGGAGATGGAGAGAGTGGCCTGTGAAGGGGAGGACTTCATCCCACCCAAAATCATGGTGAGGTTTCAAGTCAATTGAATTTCAAATAGACATTGAAGTTAAACAAAATATTTCCATCAAGTTCCATATGCCCTATTCAGCCAATGGTACTGAAGTTTCTCTGCATTTTTCCTTTTTTCCACAGTTGATATCCTCCAAGGTCCCAAAGGCAGAATATGTTCCCAACATAATTCGTAGGGACGACTCCTCCATCATCCCCATTCTCTATGTGAGTAGCAGCCATCGACAGATGTACACCACTGTTATATTTAGGTTTAAGGCATTGCGTGCTGTAATTATAAAAAAAAAAAAGTCTGTCATTGGCTTCAAAGACATGAAAAGCAATATGTTTAGATGGATGGAAAATTAAGATGCAACATTGCTTATTTTTACATCCTTACCATGAGGCACGAGCTTGGCCTGTTGATGCCACAGAAAAGGCCATGTTGTTACCCACATCGTGGCTATTTTATGACATTGTGACATCTCAGACTCAGCCTGTCAGGCTTAACGTTGGTCAGACTTGATTGGACATTCATCAGTATGAGCTGTATTTTGTCAACTGTGTCAGATGAAGTCAGATGATCACCAACATTATTAGGAATCATCCTCTGGGGGCCATGAATATCTGTGCCATATATCATGGCAATCCATAACACCTGTCGTGATATATTTAAGTACTCCACTAATTTAGCATTGCACTTCTATAACATTGTCAAACTGACGATGGACAGTTAAAAAAAAAGATCAAAACTGATGCAGTAGAACGAGATATCATCTTTTTTATTCTACATTTTCTTCTTTGCCAAAACCTGATGCCTATATTACCCACAATGCAACTCAAACTGTGGACAGTTCAATCTGCGATTCTGTTGTGTTATGCAACTAGCGGCTAATGTGGCCTCAAGCTGCTATCATCAGTAGAGATGGGGCTACGAGGTCTAGTAAGCAACCTCAAGTGGCATCAATTGAGATGTTTTATTTGTCAGACACAGCTCCCTCTGGAGCCACAAAATGCTTTATACAATTATTTTCACATACTAGCCAAGATAACCCATTACCCACTACCTATTGGGGGGGATTTGTAGGGAGAGCTGGACACTAGCCTTCCACTACCAGAGTACTGTACATCTTATTAACACAGTTTTACCATGACATTTAAAGGGGCCATGTGTAGTTTTCAGTGGCCTGTAGCAGTGAGGTTTCAGATTGCAACCACTACTTTCCCGAGTATGTGCTTGTGCATGTGCTCGAACTAATGAACATACCAAAACAGAGACAGAGACAACACACTGGAGACAGCATCACACAAAATGCTGTAAACTCAGCTAAACTCCCTCTGCAGTGTTACAGTAAGGGATGCAACAAAATGAAAATTCTTGGCCTAAGATGAAACCGAATATAGTGAAAAAATTTCCCGAATACCAAATACTGACCAAGTTTTTTCAAGTTTCTTTTCCATTTATTTTTCAGTCAACATGTGCTTTTTACTTAGTGTTTCTCACAGGATTTGGAGAGACTATGGTGGGTAGGTCCGAGGCCCAAGAGGGTCCGGTAAAGTAAATTACATGAGTCCGTTTACTTTTAATGGGCACATGTAATATTTCTTATACTTTCTGTGAATATAATCCCATTATTTATATCCTGTATGTACACCTTATTTTACAAACCACACATTGTCATATGTGTTTCGCTGCGCTAAATTCATCAAGTACCACCCAGTATGATAAATAATGTTGTATGTGGTTCTCGTATCACGTAACATGAAGACTTCAAAGCCTCTGTTCAGGTAGGACTCTCATACTGCAACACTCGTCTTTGTAAAGAGAGAAAATGACAGGATAAAGTAGCTAACCTGCCTGTCAGCTCGCACTGGTCCATTTAGGTGGATTTACCATAAAGGCGCAAATATATGTGCACTCCAAATTTAGGTGCGGCTAGCTTAACATTCAAAGCTGGTCATACCATTTTTTTTCCTTTTTTAAGAACATTGCCGACATGGTGAAGCATGTTTGGCAAAATTTGTCTGGTCTTTTGACTTATTAGGCCGAACACGAAAGAGCTTTTTTTGCTATTTTCAGCTGATTCATTTTGTTTGCCGAACATTGTGCGTCCCTAGTTACAGTAATGTTTTCATCAGCTTGATGTCAAACTATTAAAATGTTCGCTTAACGTTACATTGACTGCATTTAGCCGACAAAAAAACTATTTGTATAAATTTAACATAACGAAGCAAACAACACCAGATCTGTGCTGGTTGCACCACTGCCTTGCATCATTATAGTATATATATGTATACATAGCTAGTAAAAACAAATTGCTCCACATTTGCCTTGTACTGCTACATAATTTCTTGCAGCTGGTGAATTAGTGTCAAAAGCTATATAACTGTAGTATTTAGCCAGTAAGCTAACATTATCTAACATGAGCAACTAAAACACAAATTCAAAATCAAATACAGTATATTTCACATGCTTTGCAGTAATGTTTAATGTTAATGCTTACCTGTCCATAGAATAAAAGCCAACTCTGGGTCGGTTTTTATACCCAAACAAAACGGAGGCTCTCCATGATTCAAACACCTTCCTGATGTTGTCCGTGTTTTCGTCTGACATCTATCTGATTCTCATTTGGCTTGACGGGCTTCAGCACATAAAACATTTGTTTTTTATCCTTACATGGAGTTTGTGTTGGAGTCTGTGCTGTGCTGGGAGCCGTCCGTTTCTTGGTGTTAGTGAACGCCATCTCGTTACCTGCGGTGTTGTTGCTGTGTATAGAGTTAAATATCAGTATGCAAGAAGCTCAGGAGCGTCACAGCCTTTGTAAACCAATAGATTTCGCAGAAAATCTGATCCAGTTTCTTAACATAGGCAGCAGACTAGTGGCTGTTCCAAACAACCAAGAACGCATGCGAGGTCGCATGTGAGGTTACAACCAGTTCACACATAGAAAAAAGTGATTAATTTCATTAAAAAAACTTCATATAGCCCATTTAAGTGTGACTTCTACTAACTAACCAGATGTTTTATCTGTTGGATCAATCATCATACTATGAGGACAGTTTAAATGTTGTTTCATGCCTCTGCAGTGACTATTTTTCAGCACAAATCTGGAAAACTGATTTTGGTAGAACTTTTTTTCCAGTCTGACAATCATAGGCAAAGACCAGCAACAGCCGAGTACGCTATGGATTTGTTCAGTCAAGGACCCAAATTTCATTTTTGTCTGAGTGAAGAAGAGCACTGTCAATCATCCACTTGAAATGTCTCTCCTAAGCAATATACAGACTCATTTCAGGCTGACTTTGATGTTCGGTTAAGTGGTACCCTGTTCTTTTCTGTTCAGATGAAAACATAAAGGCAATCTTTTGCTAGTATTTTTTTTAAGAAAAGAGAACAAAATGCTTGAAGTCTGTAGTGAGATCCAACATTCTTTCAAGTATTGCCAAAACCCAATCACTTTTGTGTGGGTCAGAACATGGAGACAAATCCATTGTTTCATCTCCAGATTCTATGTAGTTTAAAACAAGCATACTACCTTATATACAATAAAACATAACCTTTTTAGCCAAGCTAGAGATGGCAATGTCAGTTTGTTGGTTGGTCAGCTGGTCCAGACTGAGATATGAAAATTGGATGCCTTACCATGAAATTTTGTAAAGATATTTGCACTTTCTGGATGACTAATGTTAATTACTGTTAATTACTGTGACATTCATATTCGTTTTTCCAATACTTTGGTTTGTGACCAAACACCTGCAATGACATGTACTCAGTACTCAGCTGTGCTGTGATTGAGCAATTTAAGTTTATTCCTGCAGTTGTTGTAAGTCACTCATCAAAAGTCTAATGGGATGTAATTGTGAAAGAATAAAATCAGTACTCTTAGAAAAATGTCTAAATTAAATCAGATTCCATTAATGGCTGTAAATGAACAAACGTTCTGTGTAGAAAATCAGTGGGTTGTTCAGTTTGATTCAATTTCAACTCAGTTTCATTTAAAGAAATAATAATTCTGTTTTAATCTTCCATTTTAAGGACCATGAACATGCCACGTTTGATGACATCCTTGGTGAGTGCGGCATGTGTTTTTTTTTCAACGTTAGCTCTTAAGTGAAAATGACTCTCCCAGTGTAAATGTGAAAAAGATGAGGGTGGAATAAGCTTCCTGGAGTGTTGAGATGAGTCATTGTTTTTGTACTTGTACACGTGTGTGTGTGTGTGTGTGTGTGTGTGTGTGTGTGTGTGTGTGTCAAGGGACAGCCAATTTATGTGTCTCATCATTACAGCAGAGTGGGAAAAGTGACACCCCCCCCCCTTCTGATTTCTGTTTCTCTCTCACCCAGAGGAGATAGAGAAGAAGCTGACTGCCTACAGAAAAGGCTGTAAAATCTGGAATATGCTCATTTTCTGTCAGGTGAGTGAAAGGAGAGGAATATTGTGACATTATCAGGTCACATTTTTCTAATGTACTGTTGAGCTGAAAATAGTCAGGTTAGTACTCTCTAACCAGTAGTAGTTAGTGGTCTCTAATTAAAAATATACATATAATATATGAGTATATTTAAAGTTTAATAGCATATTTTATGACAAATATTGACTTCTGGCAGCTTAAATTTTACAAAATCCATTTAATCCATCCTTTAATAGAACTTTAGACCAAACACAAAAGCTTAAGACTTAGGCCTCTCGTTTCACAGCGTTGAGCTGGTAGTAATGGCAGATAAAGCCGTGGTGGCTGGGTTATCCTAAACCGCTGACGAGCTGGGTGGAAGATTCCGCCTTCACCACCCATTATACAGAGAGCCCCTGGATTTTACACTGTTGCACAGACACACAGCCCCTATAATATTACACTGATGCAGTTATGGATCAGAGACCCAAAGCGTTCCATATTAAATAAGTCTGCTTTTTTATCATAATGACACTTTTCATGACAGTGGTGTTGGCACAGCGCTCTCACCTTTCAGCCAATGACATACCTTCTAACATAAAGGAAATATTGCAAGCCCTGAAACGACGGGGTGAAGTGACCTGGTACTTTATTTTTAATCCTTAAATATTAGTTTATGGTGTTTCCCACCTGCACACTGTTCTCATTTGTAGTCTGGATGAATAATGCAACACATCTCCTGCTGCCTGGAATGCATTAGGCATAATCAATATCAAATATCACGTTTAGGCTTGTTGTCCTTATGCACACGGAATTACATTTGGTTAAACAAGCCACATAATGATAAGAGATGCTAAGACACATTTCCTTACATATTGGACCCAGTGTTTCTCCTCAGATTTCCATCAGCAGCTGGAGATAAATATTTAGTAGCTTTACTTAAACTGCTACTGCTCCGTCCACAATCCCAATATTGCTGTGAAACTTAACAATATTTGCTTTAGCTTTTTGTTATTTTCTTACTGTTAGTTTTGAAAGCAGTGATTGGAGTTTTACACAGCTTCTGTTAAACATTACAGTTTGGGATTACACACAACATTATCAGTTCTTCAGACCATTTTAATTCTATAGAATATGAAGGGATGAGGGGACTTTTATACCTATATTCTATCTATAGTAACACAAACACCTTTCCCCAGGGAGGTCCAGGACATCTGTACTTGCTGAAGAATAAAGTTGCCACCTTTGCCAAGGTGGAGAAGGAGGAAGACATGATCCAGTAAGATGTATTACAAAAATGTATTTGTATTTGTGAAATTTATGAAAACAATGTAGCATACTGTATATTCATTGTAACTCTATTACATAGAGATCTATAGTATTCATTCAAACAGAGTTGTTTCAGCAGATTACTCTGTCTTAAGTTTCATCCTACATTAATAGCGTGCTGACAGTAGGGAACTGGTGATATTTTGTTTGTCATTAGTCACATGTTTTTAATGTAGGTAGTGTGGTAACATTTCCTTTTACCCTAATACACACATTTTACATTTAAATGATTTCAGGTGGCATGAAGGCATGTGATGGAATTATTCAAACCATAAAGTGCCTCCAAAAATGTGATGTGACTATCGTGTGGTTCCTCAATCCTACTCTTGATAAACCATCATTCAGTTTTGACCCACTTACTAACTCATCTTTCTCATGTCCTCTGCTGCTCTTACCCATATGTTGTTGATTCTCTGAACCTCTCGCCTCGCCTGTGTGTCCAGGTTCTGGCGGCGGCTCAGCAGGCTGATGAGTAAGCTGAACCCGGAGCCCAACCTCATACACATCATGGGCTGCTATGTGCTGGGGAGCGCTAATGGAGAAAAGGTAGTCGTCTTTGTATTCTGAGTCACGACAAGCCTCGAGGACAAATAAGACTCCCACACTCCACCAGTTAGTGCAAAAGTTTACCTAAAATGTCTGCATGCTTTTGACCTTGCTCTGTGAAAGGTGCTACACTAAATAAACTTCTTGCAGTGTCTAATGAGGTGAATGCAAATACACTTTTTGCGTATACATGGTAGAATAATGTATGAAGGAGCTGTTTCAGTGCGTGCAATGTAAGTGTTTTTTTTAGAAATCATTGGGGCAAGTGTATGAATTATGACCTTATCAACACCTTCTGCGCCCTGGCTACATATCTGATCTTGGAACAGGCTTGGGAGGGGGGGGGTAATGAAGAAGACACACACACACACACACACACACACACACACACACAAAAATGATGGAATGACACTCAATTAACACATACTCACACATGCACCCACTCACCCTTGCTGCAATTACACAATCACACATATACTTATACACTCGTACCTCTGCCATGATCCTTCCACCCCCACAGACTGATCCACACTATATGCAGACACATGCACATACAGCATATGCCCATGAACCTGCCCACACACTAAAATATTCATACTTTATCATGCAGCCACATCTAGAACCACTGTACAACTGCTTCTTATGACGGCTTACAGCAGTACCACTCATTGTTCTGCAGGTAAAAACTCATGTAGAGCTTCTCCTGCCCATTTCACCCAGAAGTCTGAAGTGAAAATTAATATATTAATATTCTGGGACTATTGGAGATAGGTTAGACCTTAATGCTAATAAAAGATGCAATGCAGTATGAAGCTGTGAGGGCTGTCAAGACACTTGCAGAGAAAAGCCACAAAACGTATGTCTGAGGAACTAATAAACCTCATAATGGTGCCAAATGTGGTAAATAAGTAATATTGAGGTAGATTAATATTTATAATATAATATAATTACCAAAAATAACCATCATTTAGAAGACAGGCAGCCAATGCAATCTGTTTAGCGTGGCACATTTAGAGAATAAGAATAAGACATACAGAACAGGATAAGAAAAACATCTTCACAACTTTGACAGTACATACCATATGTCACATTATGAAAAACCTGCAAATAAATAAAACACAGCAAATAAAGAGACCAATTCATTAAGAAAAAAGCTGCAAATTTGTTTACAGGACTAATTTAACACACTTTCAAAGTTTCCAGGGGACACAAGAAGTAATAAACATACTAGTTATTAGCAGAAGCCTAATGCTAGGTGTAGGTGTCCATAACAGAAATTAACATTGTTTGCACGCTATTTTTGAACATCATTAGTCATGTTTCCATCTAAATGTAACACAAACCTCCATAAAATCAGTCAAAAGACAATGCCAATTAATGTGCGTTGCCATCTACTGACATGTGAATATTAGGAGTTGGGCACATCTAGATAAATAGTTGTTGCTGCTTATAATTGCTGTCTCTACAGTATGATGTGAACGTGGCATATGCAAACATAATGGGGTTAAGGGAAATGTAGTTTTAATGAGGAAATCACAAGCAATTACAAGTCTGTGAACTGGCCAGCCTTGGATCTCCACCATGATGTTTTTTGTTTACAATAATTACAACCAGGCGTTCATTTGAAAATGGTATGTTAATGTTTAATGTCCCTGTTTGTAGCACATTTACAACAGTCATTGTTTGTTTGGACCTTGCGCCTGTATCGTCAAGCTATAAAGAAGTCCTAGCAGCGCACAGTGACAGTTAATGTAACATTTGGCATCTTCTCCACAGTGATTCAGTACAAGTCACACCAGAAAGTGGATGAACAGGGAAGGGTCATTCGCTGCATTTAACAATTTTCCCCCTGCTGCAGCTGCCTGCGTGCGCTCCTGCAAGCTCAGCTGGAGAACCACTATTAATAGACTGACAGACTGAGCTACCTTCAGATGCTCCACTCCGCTCCACCCAGCCATCTTACACTGCAAAAGTCAAGAAAATAATGTTTTGTTCAAAATCTGTCACTGTTTTTAATTGTCTGCAGTGTAAAACAAATAGCTTTCTCATCATCTCAAAATAAGATGAGTTACCTACATTATTTCAAAACATTAATAAGACGCAAGAGGTCAGTAAATAAAGAACATAGCCAATCAGTACTTTATTTAATTTTAAGATCATACTTCCCTTGAAACAAGGAAGTATCAGCTGGGAGATGTGTACAAGTGGCGAGTTTGCTACGTTACACAAGCATTCTTAGTTCTTTTTGTCTAATAAATAAACAAAAACAACTGTGTCTGAATGTCAGATGTAAAGAAAGGAAAGGAAATATTCTTACAGCAGTTCTTATCAAAGAAAAATACAACCATTCACCTTCTGAGGTTTCTCTCTTTCACAAAACAATTTCCCTCAGTACCTCAGTACTGTATGCCCTGTCTTCAGACCGGAGTGCTTGGCCCCTCTAATTTAATTGCAAATTGCAATTCTCTGTAAATGGAAATTCCATGATCTATGCCAATTTAGTAGCATTAAACAAGAAAACTGTATTGCTTTTTAGCTATTAGGGGTCCAAATCCTTGGACTGTTATACTTACGCTATGTCGTTGTCAATCAATGACTGGCGTCATTAAATAGAAACAAATTAAGAAATAGAAAAAGTTTAAGAAATAGGACATCCTTTCAGTCTGCCTCCATCGAAGTGGACAAAGCTGATAAATACTGTACAGCTCGCCAGGTAAAGTCGCTTTAACCTCTTAACATTTCAATGGCCCGCCCACGGGCTGTCAGGTCCTGGCAACAGCTTTCGGCATGTGCACACAGCTGCTATGTTAACTTCATACTCATATGATACACTGTTTGAAAGCTAAAATCCTCGTGCAAACCATTTCAAGATGTAATCACAGCAGGCACGATCAGCTTCTCTGTCAGACCAGCCAGTACAATCAAAATTTGATGCCACTCACCTATGAAGCCTCATAGTAATCCACCAATCAATTATATTCCAAATTTGTTACATTGTCAAACGTCAAGATGATCCAATCAAGTAAAAATATTTAGTCCAAAACACATTATTTCATCAATAAATCCCCAGGGACAGCTGCTGCATCGTTTCATATTTGCCGGCAGACGTGGCTCGTATGTCATTATAACCGTAATAACTCCGATTTGAATGTAAACAACTACGATAGCTTGTATTCAAATTAGCCACTGAACTCTGACCTTTCGAGTGACACCAAATCCGACCCAATAGGAGCTCACATGTCCCTTTCATGACTGGCACTTCGTGTAGCCAATAAAATTCTGAAAATAACGATATCGAGTTTTAAGTAGGACGTTCATGATCTACTAGGAAAAAAACACATCTGTGTCAAGCTACCGGCTAATATGGAGAGATGCAGCAGCAGCAGCCGCCTGCCGCCAGGGGGTGGTGCTGTTTTAGAAAAATTACACAGAAAAACCTGTGTAAAATAGTAATTTTTCATGGTATTGGTATGAAATTTTAACTTGGACTTGGTAAGGCTTTATGCCGTGGCGTGTCCCTACAGTGTTTTCCAGCTAATAAGTCCCAGCTATAGTTGTCTGCATACATTTGTTAGCAAGCATTTTCAAGCGGAAACAAAAAATATAATAAATATATTTGTTTTAGTGTGTTTAAACTTATATTAATCAATTCCAGTAGCACTCACAGTCATTCTGACTTATGGGTTAGACTCTCCAGAGTGTTATCTTTCAGAGAAGCCCAAAACCATGCATATACTCCAAATGATTCAAGAACTACATTTAATTTACTTTGGATATGCCTTGAATACTTGAATACTAAACCGATTTCTCTCTCTCTCTCTCTCTCTCTCTCTCTCTCTCTCTCTCTCTCTGTCTCCCTCTCTCTGTGCCGTGGTGGACAGACCATCAGTGTAAAGATCAGGGTTTAGGAATGAGACAATCAGCCAACATCACGCACTCATAATCTGCAAATATCTTATATCACAGCTGACCACAATCACAAAAAATCCACTTCTCCACATTTTTCAGTCAACAGTCTCACGCATCTAATGGTATACACTTCCATTTGAATCATTCCAGCTCACTACACAGGCCATGTAACAGCTCACGTTTCTCTTGCACTAGACATGCTTAAATACAACCCAATCGTATCAGTGATTGTTTTCTGGCCAAAATGCAAGTGACCTACAGCCAACACTGTTCCTAAATGCATCCTGTGTGGATGCAGACGGGGCACTGAAGCTGCTGCTTCGCCTCCTGTGCAGACACAGTGTACCAATCTGAGTACCAGTCTAACACCCATTTTAAATGGTAGTTGAATAGTCCACATACCAACTTAACAGCAAATGTGTGATTTAGGCACATGATGAAACCCCTCAGCCTGCTTTCCTGTGTCAGGTAAATCTGGCTACTCTGTAGGTACTCACTTAATTTAACAAAAGCACAAGGGTTAGATCAGATTCACTGTTCAAATAGTAGTACAATAGTATTACTTGCTAACAGCTTTCTTGCACTAGTATTTGCGGCGCTGACCCCAACCATAAAAAATCATGCTCTATTGATGGCCTGCTACTGTAAAGCCTCAGGGAGATGTCGAGGTTAAGCTCCAGAGCAGATTGCATTGCCAACACATGCAGTCTCTGGCAGCTTGTGTGACCTTTCACCTTCTCTACCCCTCAGCATTCAGTGGCGCCATTATTAGCAGCAGACCATATGCCTGCCTGTTGTGGCGGTGTCTGGTTCACATTCAGTGCTGTTCCATTATCGCTAGAGAGGAAAGAGGTATTTAGAATGTAACAGATCGGCAGGTAGAAAGACACCCTGTCTCTCACAAATGATATTTTTTCTTGCCATTTTATTAATGGCTAGAACATATTTCATCCTCCAGATGCCAAGAGACACAAAATTAAAACAGACAGGCGCCCAGTGGTTGCCTAGCAACCTCACATTGACAGCATCACTCCATGAAGTGAAATACATACAACCCCCTGTGAAACCACAACGTGTTGTTTTTACAATGATTAAACAAATGAGACTTAACATGTTTAACAGTGAGCTTTGAAGGTGCTGGCTAAAGTGCAGAAGTATATTTCCACAAAAGTATTTGCAATTGTCACAAAACCTTGAAAGAAAGACGCTATTTTGTACCATAGAACAAAATCAAATCTGTAAAAATTTAAACAAACCTAATTTTTGGTCAAAAAGGTCCACAAATAGTCCTTCTTTGCTTTTACATCTAAAGCGTTATGCGAGTTATGTTCTAAGATCTAATGTATCCAAACTAATAAATAAATGTAATGTTTTATTTTGTTGCCCCCTTAACGCAGACTGTTGCGAATTTGCATCACACCGCTTCCATGCAGACTGCAGCCGAGATAGCGTTTGAATTCCCCCAAGGCCTGTTTGTGCATATTCGATGCATACCAAGGAACATTTTGCAAGCACTAGTTTATCATTTATGCCTGTGTCGCTAATTTGCATCATACCTACATCGTACCTGAATTTATATCTTTTCAATGTTCTATAGGCAAATTAACAATCCCCACTTAAATTAGCATCAGCATGAAAGCAATTGAAAACACAAATAAGTAACTTCTTTTTACATACTTGTAAATAAATTCACGTGTCAATGGGGTTACTTGTAAATGAAAATTGTATTCTGTTGCATATACATGACAATGTATTTAAAGCTGTACCTAGGTCGTTCAACCACATTTTAAACAACCAATGAAGAGACATTTAGAATGAAAACCATACAATTCTTTGATTTTGCCTTTAGATGGCATCACAAACTGTTGAACTGTTATTTCTTTTCTTTAATTGTTTACGAGGCAAAATTGATTTTAACAAAGGTAAAAGATAAGTAACATTATCGTGTCAGATGTAAAACACGTTTATAAAGTTGCAGACTTAAATATAAAAGTTACCTAATTCAAAAACATTTGTACATAAGAAAATTGGTTGTAAAGTTGCAAAAAATAAATAAATAGAAATCTAGTTGTAATTGTAAAGTAATTCTTTAGTGAGCTCTTTTGAACTAGCTTTAAAATAAATAATAATAAAATGAAAATTATGTTGTTCTTATATTTTCCTTAATGGAAGCAAACCAAAAAGAATCACAAAACATTGCCCTTTGAACTGACGGTTGCACAGCTAGCCTTCTGGAGATGAGAATGTCACTTGGCTGCTGGTCTCCATGTGTGATGGCGCACCAGCTGGCACTGGACCAGACCCCAGGGAGTGAGAGGAGGGACAGGGAGGACGAGCTGGAACAAGAGGGGGGAGGAGGAGGCAGTAAAAGTGTGGAGAAGTGTCAGGTCTGACAGGTTTTCAGAAGCACAAACAAACGCGTGTTGTAGGTAATCCAAGGTTACAGCTGATGGGTTCATGTTGTGGGTTTCTAACATAAAACTCAATAACAAATTCAAATCAAAGTGCATGAGTAAGGTTGGTGATTTGGGAGCACAGACATATGGTCTGTCCCATTTCAGGAGCTGCCATCTATCAAACTCACATTTCTTATTTTATTTATTGGTTTATTTTACAGGGGAAGTGCACATTAATAAACACTGCTGTAAGTGAGTTAGGTTCTTTTCATCTGTCCCTGGACAGAAAAAAAACCCAATTTAAGCTTCAAATTGACACTGACCATGTCCATCAGTATCCCACCCAGTGTCAAACAGTTTTGGTCTTTGAGGTTTGTGGGAGCTACTGATGAATCCTCTGTAGAGTCTCTTTTGTGGTGGTGGCACATCCTCTGGAGAGTGTCACCTCTGAAATGGGACACAGCTAGTTTAACTCTTGGATGCAAACAGTGATATGGACATAAGGCAAGACACCTATATACCCGGAGGCCGAAGCAAGCAACCCTAAGTCTAAGTAAAAAAATGAATATTTATAGTATTTTGGAAAAAATTTACACAAGACATTGTCCAAGCTGTCCCCTTATCCATTCCAAATTAAAGCCCCTTTAGACATGCACCTTGCATAAATTTACATAAACGTGATGGCAATTTACCATGTTTGATTCATATCTGAAAAAGAGCCTGAGCCGGGTCGCTTTGAGCAAGGCACAAGTCTGAATTAAATGCCGACATGTTAGTGTAAAGGCTCCAGTAGCACGTGGTTCAATAGTCAGAGAAAGAGACTGAATGCACATCTTGCTCCATCTTCTTCAGAGCACTTTGATTCATTAAGTACTCAGGTATCTTCTGTTCATTTGACACTTTAACAAACCATAAAAAAAGAAACTTTTTATCAATTTTAAGCGTGTGTATTGTCAGCATTATTAAACAGCAATATTCTTTAAATAAGCCTTCAAGAACAAAATACGTTGTACAATTCATCACTTATGCAGCCTGTGAAAGAACAAACACATTTCTTCCTTTATATTATTACTGTGACAGTGACATTGCTCCCAGTCATGCACCAGGTTGATTGACAAAATTTCGTTGTCTAAGAAAACAATGACTGAACAGTCATTTAATGGTCACCAATGTCATCCCAAAGATCCAGCAGTGTATTGTTCTGAAAAGGGCTTAAAAATAAAAATCTCTATTTCCAGGGAAGCCTTTAAACGAAAGCTTTTTATTCCATAAAATACATTTTCTCATTAATTACATCAGATTCATCCTGATCATACAGGTCTGGTACATGTCTGTGTCATCTTTCAAAGGCAGTCGCAGTGAGTTAAGGTGTGTTCTCCTCCACCGTGTATGTGACCCTGCTCTGCCAGCTCCTTAGCTCACTCTAAATCCACTCAACAGGTGTGTCTATTTGAACAGAAAACATTACACATACTAAGTACTATACATACTATAAGTGCCTTTCACTTATATTCAGCTACTACAGTGGCACATTGACCTTTTCGCATACACTCAGCTGCAGTGGTGCATGAACAGAATCAATGTGCTGCAGGGCCCCCTCCTGCTCTCTGCATACAGTCATGTCTCTGCGTCATCTCTGGTTTGTTTGTTTTCATTTCAAAATTCCTGATGGCGTTTGGACTGAAGTGTTCTCCCTCTCTCTAACTCGTCCTCCCTGTCTGTCCCCTCTTTCCCTGCAGCTGATTCAGACTCTGAAGAGGCTGATGAGACCCTCCTCGGTCGAATTCAAGTCCCCACTAGAGCTGTCTGCACAGGGTGAGAGCACTGCATACAGACACATTTGCAAATAGTTACAAATGCACAGATGCTATATTATTGTTTCTTTACTGCTGTTACAGAGGTGGTTATTCCACCTCCACCACAAAAGAGTTGCACAACATGCACACACACAAGAAATACAATATACAGGTTTTGTACTGATATCGCATTATCGGCCTCACCGGTACACATACTGAATGTTAATAGTTGGTGGTAATCAATGGCAGGAAGCTGCTCAGCAATGAAAAAAGCACATTAGGGAGCGTGAGCAAACATCCAGTTAACCCTGCTGACTTCTCAACGCATCCCTCATCAGTCATTTCCATGACATCTATTGATGCCACGCTCATTATTTCCCATTTAAGCTTTTTCAATGCATTTTGGATAGGTCATCTTTTGCAGTGCAGATTACTTTTTTAAAAATTGAATAGATGAGTGAAGTGCTTACGCTTATGCTAAGGTTCTTATGCAAAAAGGGTTGCCGACAAAATCACTCCATGTCAGATGTCAAATGTGAGTTGCATGCGTGAGGTGTGTGATTTTATTCTTCAGCTCAAGTCAGTTTACCTCTACTGTGTGTGCAGCAAGCATTTTATTGGCTGTGAAATAGCACAGTGGTCTGAAGAGCTGTTGTGAAGCTAAATGTGGGCAGCAGCTCCTGTCTTCTTTATCTTGGCAGTGCCTGACTCTGGCTAATCCAAAAATGGGCAAAGAGGTGGAGCTGAGGTGGGCCGAATGAAGCCTGGTTGCTGAACCACCTACCTGTCACCCAAAGCAAACTTTCTTTCTTTATGCATAACTTTAAGCCCTAATATAATTTAAAGAGAAAGTTAGATAAAAATGCACAGGGAAATTAGCTACAGAGACCAAAACCGTTATTTTTTTGTACCAGGCTGTAATGATGCTTGTTCTGCTGTAACGTTTGACATTTTAACATGCGGGTCTATGGGCGGTACACACGGTGGCTGAGTCCCACAGGTGCCTGATTGAGCAGATGTGCTTCTATTTTCATCAATACAGATGTGTAGGGGCATACACAAGCCACTAAACAGCTCACGTGTTATGGAAGATTTTATTGGACTTTAATATTTGTAACACACAGAAAACAATCCACAAATGTGTACTATGATGCGCAAATATTTCACTATCTACAAATATGTATTTTTATATTTGTGATGTGTAAAATCATATCCACAAAATACAGTTACTTCTACACACAAAACAGTTTTTGCCCATTTGCTGATTGTTTTCTGTCAATTTGTGGGTCATGTTACATTTTACATTTGTGTTCTGTAAAATCATATCCACAAAAATACAGTGCAATTTGAAAATATGTACTATTTACTCTGTACACACATTTTAATTTCACATACAAAGTGTTATTTACGCATTGGTTGATCTATTTTTAATCCAATCTGTACCATGAAGATCTGTAAAGATTAATTTATAGTCCTGCTTCGTAGACATGCATCTATACTTATATCAAGGAAGTGGTCTTGGTCCGGTTGCAAACAAATTCTGTTTCTTCGCGATAGGAACATGATAGTATGTTGTGAATGTTCTCATCTGGCTTTTTGATGCATTTTGATTTATGTAAATATGTTTCTCTGTAAAAAGAAATTAAAGCAAGGCAAACATGCAACAAGTCAACAACAAACACCCTCAGAGTCTACAGCCGTGCTCTTTGTGGTTGTACTGGGATGAATGCTAAACTCAGGCATGCTATTTACAGTGTCAATGCTAACTAGCTAATTAGTACTAAACACAAATGTAACCGAGGCAAATAGTGATGGGTTCAAACCCCCAAATATCTAAGTAACAGTTGCCATAGGTTCCCCACAATTAATAAGATTCAAGACATTGGTTTCGTCCGGTAGGATGATTTATTTAAACAATATTTAAAAATCTGTTTTTTTTTATTCATTACACAAGCTCAAAACAACAACAAACAAGATGTAGATGCCAGTGCTGCCAGAAATGCTAAAAGGATAAAAGCCATCCGTTAAAAACACCTCCGCGTCTACCGATGGTAGATGGTGCGCAGCCACCTAAACACAGCAAATCAACACACATCAACCACATAATAAAACTGAGTTAAACATGCACACACAGCTATCATATAAACCACCACATGCAGTGAAGGGTAAAGGGGTTCCCAAAATCCACCACCCTGTCCGTCTGGCAGAACACTAAAAAGAGGGGAAAAAATGTCTAAGCTGAGGGAAATCACACAGCCAAAACGAGGGATAATGGCCACACCCGCAGCAGACCTTAGCAGTTGGCAAAAATATTCACAGGGCCCATCCACCTGTAACAATCAAGTAAGAATCCACATAAAAATACAAGCATGAATAGCAGGAGTTGATCTTTAGCATAACAGGCTATTCAGCCGACAAGGTCTGGTCAACAGGTGGCTTAAATGCGTGGCATTACTAGGCCAAAAGCCTGCCTATACCACAAAGTACAGCCAAGTACAGCTCATTATTAGGGCTGACCCCGAATAGTCGAAGAATCGATGCTTCAATGGGCGAAGCCTGATTCGACTGTCAATCTCACAGTCGAGGCTTCGCTGTGAAACAAGGATCATGCCATTTTGGCGATATGGGGGTGTTCAACGTCTGATTTTACATAGAACTACCAGTTTTCTCCCAATAAGTTAATATACAGCCCATTACAATATAGGTTTCAATAAATAATGCTGTAAAGAAAAAAATTAGAAAAGAAAAAAAGCTTTTAATAAATGTTTTTAAAGTGTGTGAATAAATCCAGAATTGTAACCCTAACCCTCATGGTAGGGGGCATCAGTGCGCATGTGTAGGCGTAGCCTGTATGTGTGTGTAAGTGTGTAGTGGCAGGAGAGGAACTTGCTGTAGAAACGGAGCCTTAACTTCACCATTGTTGTGCAGAGTTGTAAATCCTTCAGGGCAAGTTTTTACAATTCACCATCTGGGGACCATGAATGTCTGAGTAAAATTTCATGTAATCCATCCAATATTCCACTGGTTAAGAGAAAACTTCTGGGGATCACCAGAGTCAATGGGATTCATCCTCTGGGAACCATGAATGTCTGAAATGTTCATGGCAATCCGTCAAATAGTAAAAATATTTTAGTCTGGACCAAAGTGGTGGGCCAACCGATGGTCAGATGCCCTAGAGCTCTAAAAAACTCTTGATGCATAAACAAATAGATGACCCCCTGAAATCAGCAAGCATGTCCTTTATTTTAAAAATACCATAGCAATGACTGATGACGCCATGACAGAAAATCAGTTCCATGACCCAGATCCCGTTCCTGCCAAAATCATTATCAGCAAATTAGATTCACAATTTCCATCAATACTCTGACAGTTAAGTACGTTATTTATAGTGACCTGATTTTATGCACAAGTGCCTGACATTTGAAAACCTGTTCAATATTACAACAAAATACCAAGTCAACTGTAACAACACTGAAAACAGGCGTGATGTGTGCTGTGATAGTTACCCAACTGAGGCATGTTTCATATCTCCGTAAAATGAACTGCACTGAAGTGAATGGAAATCAGCAGCTGCATGGAAGGCAGATAAAATAGACTGAAATATAATATAATATATAATATAACACTTATATGGTACTTTTAAGTAACAAACTAATGATTACCAGAATGAGTCTGAGGCTAATGATATAATGTGCCAGGATTGTCAGGGGTGATGCTAGATGAGGTCAGGTTTTCCAAGTAGTTTTGTAATTTTGTCATATCTTGCTTTCTTTGTGTTGTCTTGTTTCTGCAGGCAAAGAGATGATCGAGATGTACTTTGACTTCCGCCTCTTCCGCCTGTGGAAAAGCCGTCAGCACTCGAAGCTTCTGGACTACGACGACCTCTTGTGACTTGGCCCACCTTCTGTTGGCTTGTCGGCCAGTTATCTCATGTCTGAGCCTACTGTACGGTGATAGGGCGTTTGGTTGAAGGGCCACCAAGAGGCTCCTAGACCAGCTCTGTGGCAGAGCTGAAGCAGCAGCGCAGTTGGGTCTTTTTATATCCTTCTGAAGCGACAGGGTGGCACAGTAGATTCAGCCAGTGGTGTACTTTTTCTCCCTTATCCATTTTCACTTTCTGCCAATCTCTCTGAGAAAAGAGAAAGAGAGGGACATGAAAAAGGAGGAGAAGTGAGGAACTCATCATCCTAGCCTAAATGTGTCAGAAGACGCTAACTAGAGTTAGATTTCTGAGTACAGTACAGTAAAAGAGTGACAGCAAAGAACAGAAACAACTCGTGCTTTCTGATTTTGGAGGGAGACAAATTTTTCTTTTTTCTTGCCTTTAGCCAACCTATCTGCTCTTTTAAGATGGAGGCTTTTAAAGATGGAAGTATTTTCTTTGTCAGGTCTGGAAGTTATTCCCAACGGGATTAGAGCATTATGTAAATAAACAAGTGCTTACTGGAGCATTAGAGAATAGAATTACAGCATCTCTCTCCATGCTATCATGTGAAAATCTAGACATTTAATTAGTCTTATTTAAAATTAGAGTTGTCTATTTAACACAGCTTTTTTAAAACTTCAAATAAATGTATTAGTATTTCGTATTTTGTATTTACTCAGGTTAAATCCCTTGTTTGATACTAAGAATTGTACTCAACATACTGTAGATGAGAATCTAAGGCCTTCATACTCCTCACACAGTCATCTTCTGTGGAACGTTATGACCATCAGGGAACGTGTGTGTGAACGGCGGAGGTTTTCTACATTTTCATAGTCTTTCAAGTCAACTGTAGCGGAACAGACAGATGTCTCCATGCATGTTTTATAGCATTACACTTGACCCTGCTGAGCCAACACTAGCTATTCTTTCTTGAGCTGTTGGTTCGCATGAGCTGATCCTCTTTAGTGTGTTTGTATTGCATTTGTGTCCATAACTTACTTGCATTTTGTCACTCTGTAAAGAGGTTGCAGGTGGAGACTATGACACTAGACTCTTTGCCCCTCGGCAGTGTCTTTATAAGAAGTAGACAAAAATACATACTGATAACATGCTTACTGTATATACAATTTATTTCAACATTTAATTTACTCACATTTTTTTAAGTAAATTAGAATTTCTTATTTAAGATTTAACTTGAATCACTCAAAGTAGCAATGGAGTGGTAGAGGTGATTTAGAGTCATTTTTGTTTCTCCTCACCACTAAATTGTTGTTGATTGAACATAATGTTATGTTTTGTAATATACAGGCCTTGCCATATCCATTTCTGGTATTGATATCCATTTTAAAACATCAGGAACTTTTCACTAGAGTTGAAATGAAATGTATTTTTTAAGGCACACTACAGTGAAAATAAATCATCAAAATCTGTTCAGAGGCCAAGATTCCCTGGCTTTTAATTCCTACTATGGACATTTCTATAAAGCAACTGGATAACATCTATTTATTCCTCTCCCTGCCTGGTACAACTTTTGTGACACATGCTTTTTGTTAAAAACGCTGAAGCCTGAGCTGAGAAACCCTGATGACATCATCTTGATCATCAGTTTTACACTCTGTCCTCCATTATATCAGACTTGGACTAGTGTAACCCATTTTACAACAAAGACCAGTATTGATGCTGCATTTTTAGCCTAATCTGTATTTATTAAAAATTAGTTCTATTTTTTTTAAAGGAAGGGCTTAGAAAGAAATACTCAATAAAAGGTAAATAAGTAACTGCTGCATTACATACCTAATTACTTCAAACTAACTGTAAAAGTTTTGGGGGAGAGTGGCGTTTTAAAGCTTATTTCAAATTAGGAACAGTCTAATTATTGGTATCTGTAGTGTCAGATAGGATGAGAGACATTTACACTGCTCCATCTTAAGCTTGTGCTGAGGTGGCCAGTGTGTGTGGTTCCTGAACTTATATCTTTCTGCAGATTGAATGTCCTCACAAAAATAGGACAGATTGAGGAGAATCGACCAAAAGTGGAGACTTGGCTTTAGCACATTTTTTAATAGAAGTTAAGGAATTATTCGGGGGAGAGATTTAAAGTATATTAACACAATATGTGTCATTCACCACGTATGCTTCGTGACTATCAAGTTTCCTTGCACATGTAAAGTGTGTGTTGTGACCATGGCTGACTGAGTCCTTTCAATGCTTTTATGTGTACATACATGTTTTGTGTTGTTATTGCTTCCTGCATGCAAGTCAACTGAGCTGGAAGAAGTGTACATTGCACTTGAGTGTTTTGAGTAGCTCTCAGCTAGCAGGAACAGGATGGGGAGTTGAGATGCCAATACTATTCATCTCAAGTACCCATGGACATAGGGGCTCTATAAAGATTTGGTCCAAAATGGGACATTTAGCCATTTGAAATATCTCCTTATTGCCAATGAGGATGTAAAACGTGCTATTATATATTAAGGAAGCTAGTAACTGTCGAGCACTGTTCAGAGTACACACAATGGTGTAACTGCTTTATAGAGATCGCTGCTTTGGAAAAGTGTCAAATGAGAGGTGAAACTGTTTTATCCAAAATGGCTGAATAGCTTTTTGAAATGAAGCCCTTTAAGCAGATGAAGGGCAAATGAGCTATTTTTTGATTTGCATCAGCAACATTGATACTGCCCTTTGCATCATCTGGCTCCTATTATGGGGAACCAGTGGGCTAATATTTTTTTTTTCTATATTTAAATGATTAATGTATTACTGTAAATTATGATTCATGTGTGTCCTAGTGTTGCATAAAATACTTAATGCTACATTCATGCTGCTATGAACTTATCATTATGCCACAAAGTAGCACATGTCACTCAAAGTAGTAGTAGTTGTGAAAATTTAGTATAATTACTTACTTATCAACTAAGACCATAGTGGTTTACGATGGTCATCAATGATACTGCTGCCATGGGTTCAATTAGTTAACAACATGCTAACTGACCCCTATAGCAGCACAGGTTTTAGCGCTTTAAAAATAGCCCTCTCCTCCTGGTTTGTGAGATAAAGTAAACATATATATTTATAAGTATAATTCAGTATTTCACCCAGCATTTATTTCTTTTATTTTTTTCTGTGCAGGCAATGCAGTTGGCTATTATTTAGACTCAGCCATTATTTGAATACTGGCTTTCATTTGAAACATCACGTTATTTTATATTAATTTCACACCATTTCGTATGGCCAGCTGGTGCTGCCATCCTTGTCAGTCTTGCTTGTTGACAGTTGTTAAACCAACTTCAAAATGAATGTAAAGTCCATTCATGTAACCACAGAACACTTCGACACTTCATTTTCCTTTGCATTGCAGTCAAAAGGCTTACATGTCTCAAACATTATGTCCTGACTGCTTTGGATTTCTCATGTGAGAGTGAACCTTATGGCCTTTGCTGTGTGCTCAGATATCTCTTTGCTTAAATGTAGGATCTGACCTTTGTAATTGTCGTACATTTTTGATTTTGCTTCATGATGAAATGTATTTCTGTATGTGTATGTTTCAACATCTCCTACTCTCCAAATACTTCTCCTGTAGCAATATACTGTGTAGGAATATTTCTGTATGGTTATTTAAATTTGTATAATATACAAGATAGGGGACATTGTTCAAAGTATTGTATTAGTTTGTAATACCTATGGATTTACAGTAGTACTGTGGATGATGGACAGAAACAAATTGATATATGTGTAGAAGACTGATCCTTTATACTACTACTACTTTCTACTGGAGTACAGTCTAACACTAATCATGCTCATAGAAGATTCCTCTGCTTTCTCCTCTGCTGTGAGTTTAAATAAACACCAAATCCCAGAGCCTAATTACTAATTACCTAGTATGCTCAAACACAAAGCGCCACTAGTAACATGAAGAAAGAGCTCAAGCAGTGTAAACTGTATGACAGCAACTCATAAGCTGTACATTTGCACTGGCTGAAGTAGTAAAGCAGATAACTTGATGCAAAAGAAGACAAAATTAGCTGATAGTTCCTGTTTGCTTTTGAGGAGCTCATTCTGAAATGCAGGTTGGTGCTTTATGATGTCCTGCTAGGGAAAACATAACTTAGTCTTTTATCACCTCAGCCAGTACCTTTTATGGTTCTATTTTCACATTGATGTAAAGTGCACAATGTTCTTTATGCTCCCTAACTCAACCAAACCCAAGGCACACCTCTCATACATACATACATGATTTAGGTGTATTTACACCTGACACTTCAGCAACATACAGTGTCCTGGATATGGTACTGCTTGAGCTGGAATTCCTTTTTTTATATCAGTTTTAAATGTGGATGGTCTAATTATATTATATATATATATCACCTCATTAGTTATGGGTAAAATGTTAGCACATACATTTTATACATCTAGCACACACAGAGCAACATTAGCACTAATTTGTTTTTGACAACCTTGTTTTTGCTCTGTTTTGGTCGTCACCAACTCCTGAGGAAAATATCTGACTCTAGCGACTTTTTAATGTGGAGCATCTAGCTTGCTGGGCATATATGGGTTAATCAGAGCTTTTTTGAGCTGGTAGCTTTGTCCAGGAACTGGGCTGATTAGAGTGGAATCTGGGGGTAGCTAAACCAAAACAGCTAAAAGAGGCTCAAAACCTCCACATAGCTGAGAGGAATCACAGCTGGGAGATACTTCTTTCTGGGTTTGTAACTATGAGAAACCTCCTTCACAACACACAATGTGATTTGATCCATTGTTGATATGAAAAATACGGATTTTTGCAGCTTTAAGCTCAAAACAGATCACTACTGAACATACAGTATCAGCATTGGAGAAAGCAGACCTCACCTAACAATGTTTTTCGTAACATTAAAAGGAGTTGAGCAGGGATAACTTCAGAGTCACAAAAGGACAGTCTTGGCAATCTATTTTTGGGTGCTGGCATCTTTGAGACAGCAGTCAAACCTCAGAAAGCAGAAGTTTGGACTTTCGTATCAGGACAAATCCATTACACTGGAGTTGACCAACAAACAGTTTGTGCTGGCTCACTCGATCAGCCATTTCCATTTCCTGAGAGCATAATTACACAAATCAAGAGACTGATCTTCGAACATCCCAGTCCTTGTTATTTTCCAAATGAAACTGCGTGTCACCATTGAGAAGACATATCCACTCAGTTCAAATTAGCATTGTTGTGACCTCCCCGCTGCTCTTGCTGGTTACCATGAAGATTGCCAGGGCTCAGTAGGGAGTGTGATTGAGGATGATGGATTGATGCTGCTTTGATTGCCCTGACACCTCCAGTCGGGCTGTGATTGTATTTTGGGAAGAATAGAAAATAATGTGTTTATGTAACGTCTGTTTCACTTTGCATCAACTTCTAAGTGATATAACTGAGCATTACATTTAGGAATAGCTTTCTTAGACTAACATGCAGTAGAGACTGTAGGAGTGATGTTACAATATGGTTTAAAAACAGGTTTATCATCCGTATGTCTTGATGAAGAAATGTTTATTATGAAAGGTATAATATATTAGCATTACTGTATCTGATGATTTTGATACTAGTAAAAGTTAATATATCTGGGTAGTTTCCCTGAGCTTTTGGATTCTTCCTTAGAATAAACATTAGAGATGGAACTTTAATCCAAGATGGCAACTTATTGTATCTGAACTACTAGCAAAGAAATGTTGTTGCATTGCACAATGTTGGTAATAACCTGTGAGAAAAAAAAAGTTTTTCCCCCAGTAAACCTTAGTTCTACACAGCTTGTTTCATTGTCTTATTATTGATTGAGTGATGACATTGACACAGTAGAAAGAGTATTAGGGGTCTATTCTCAGTGTGTCTCAGTAGGTAGCAGGCAGAAACACAAGTCCACTTTTCCTAAAAAATATATGGGCTTGTAATGCTGCAATGCAATGGATGAAAGTCTCCAGTAAATTATCCAACTTATTAAGGTTCACAAGTTGCATTAAATTTCCTCCTGACCAATCATGCAGTGGATTACATTAAAAATCGTTCTGGATTCTTCTCAAACATAATTATAACACCATCTATACCTTGTCATCTGTCAGATGGAGGTTTTTTTTGGTTTCTATTTAATTATTAGATGTAAATGCTCCGTATAGCACCTTTCTAGTCTTTTCGACCACTCAAAGTACTTTTACACTACATCTGCATTCACCATTCACACAGTGAGCCTAAGTGCTCAAACAGAAACTAACATTCTCACACATTCATACACTGGCAGCCACCAGGGGTAATTCGGGGTTCAGTATCTTGCCCAAGGACACACACGCAACCAGGGGGAGCCGGGGATTAAACCACCGACTTCCCGATTAACTGCCAAACCGCTCTACCTCCTGAGCCACAGCCAGCCCTGTATTAATTCTTAAAATTTAGAGGTAGAGTTTTAATAAACCTAGTAATAACTTATCTTTTGGATATAAAATGCCAATTAGGATCATCTATAAAAATCTAAAAGGAGGCCGTTCAAAGTTGCATAAAAATTACAGAAAATCGCTTGTGATTTGTTTTGAAACATATAGGATAAATAAGATATGCTGAACACAATTTAAGAAGATAACACACGAACTGGGAGTATGTTCCAAAGCGTGACTTGATAGCAAAAATCATGCTTTTCAAAACTATATATTTAGTTTTTGGAAATTGGGTTTGTTTGGGGGGGGGGGTTGCAGCACATAATATAATTGTGTCCTTGAATGCAAATACTATTGCACATTGTCACTCCACTGTGAGTAACAAATGTAATCATTAGCTATACAGATGGAGGTAACATATGTGCAGAGGCTACAGGAGTGCATTGTTAGCTCTCAGCTAACATCAGCTCAATGCCCAGATGGAGGATTCGTTAAAATCCTGCTGACATTCGTGACTGGCTGGGTTCCACAAGTTGAAGGTACAGACCAAACAAAAACTCTTGACTGTATAAGCTGATTATGAATTCACTGTGTGCTTTCAAATATAATGTGTTCTACACGCACACTGACGCACACACAGAGATACATAGGGACACAGTGGCCCACAGAATTCGGTAGCCTTACCGTAACCTGAGTGTGATGAATAACTGGAGAGGATGAAGTGACCCAGATCACACCAGCAAAAGAACAAAGTTAGTGCTCTACACTCCGGGGACGAGCTGAGAAAGACTGAAAGAGGGGCGAGTGAGGACCAGCTGGTGTGTAAAAGTGTGAGAGAGGAGGGTTAGAAGGAGAACATGTGGGACAGAGAGCAGCAGAGAAGGAGCGGGGACCATCTCTGATCCCTCTGTGTTTAGCCCCAAAGTTTCACTTACAAACACTGATTAAAAAAACAGGACATGGATATATTTCATTGAGCATAATGTACACTTCTTGTTGGATTGTCCCATTTGTGTTACCTCAGATGTATGACGTGCCATAAACATGAAGTAACATTTGTATTGTAAAGTTATAAAACATGACATTCTTTGAAATTAGAACCTTTATGTAATCAGGTAATCTCATAGTGATCAAGATATCTTTTAAAGGAGAAGCCGCAGTACAGCAGAGGGAAATAAAAACAAACATAGTCAGAAAAAGTAGTAGCATAAGTAGTGGAAGGCAGTTTTCCCCAATAAACAAGTTAGTTTCAAGTGGTTTAAGGCCGAGCGAGTAGCATCAGAATAAAGGTCTCCATAGTCAAGCACAGACATGATGGTTGACTGTACAATCATTTACCTGTCCTTAAAACAGAAAGTTGTGGGTACTGTATATAAAAACCCCATTTCTGTCTTTAGTTTTGGTGCCATTCTTATGCTGGGCTTATTTCTGCAGCTAGTATATGAATGTACAGTCCCCTCTAAAAGTATTGGAACGGTAAGGCAAATTCCTTTGTTTTTGTTGTTCACTGAAGACATTTGGGTTTAAGATCAAAAGATGAGTATGAGACAAGAGTTCAGAATTTCAGCTTTTATTTCCTGGTATTCGCATCGAGATGTGTTAAACAACTCAGGATTCAGGTGAGCAAAAGGAACAAATAATCTTAAAGTAAATAACATTTAATATTCGGTGGCATAACCCTTGCTTGCAATAACTGCCTCAAGCCTGCGACCCATCGACATCACCAAACTGTTGCATTCTTCATTTTCGATGCTATTCCAGGCTTTTACAGCAGCTTCTTTCAGTGCTTGTTGGTTTTGGGATGTTTCTCCCTTCAGTCTCCTCTTAAGGAGGTGAAATGCAGCTCTATTGGGTTAAGGTCAGGTGACTGACTTGGCTGGTCTAAAACCTTCCACTTTTCCTCCTGATGAAGTCCTTTGTTTTGTTGGCAGTGTGCTTTGGCTCATTGTCCTGCTGCATGATAAACTTCCTCCCCATTAGTTTCAATGCATTTCTCTGTAAATGTTTCTGTACATTTCTGAATTCATTCTGCTGCTACCATCATCAGTTACATCATCAATAAATATTAATGAGGCTGTTCCTGAAGCAGCCATGCACGCCCAAGCCATGACATTACCTCCAGCATGCTTCACAGATGAGCTTGTACGCTTCAGATCATAAGCAGTTCCTTTCTTTCTCCACACTTTGGCTTTCCATCACTTTGCTAGAGATTAATCTTGGTCTCATCAGTCCATCAGATTGCGTTCCAGAACTTTTGTGGCTCATCTCTGTACTACTTTGCAAATTTCAATCTGGCCTTCCGATTCTTCCTGCTGATGAGTGGTTTGCATCTTGTGGTGTGGACTCTATATTTCTGCTCTCTGAGTCTTCTTGTGATACCTTCACCCTGCACTGTGGAGGTCATTGCTGATGTCACTTCCTGATGTTTTGGGGTTTTCTTCACAGCTCTCACCATATTTCTGTCATCAACTACTGTTGTTTTCCTTGGCCGAACTGTTGGGCGTCTGTTGCTCAGTACACCAGTAGTTTCTTTATTTTTCAGGACTTTCCAAATTGTTGTGCTTGCCATGTCCAATGTTTGTCCAATGGCTCTGGTCGATTTCCCTTCTTTTCTCAGCTTGACAGTGGCTTGCTTTTCTCCCATAGACAGCTCTCTGGTGTTCATGCTGGTTTATCCTCTTTAACAGGAAATGCAGTACTTTATAGGTTTAAACCAAGGATGAAAACTTAGACTAGTCATGCAGAGCTATTTAATGTTTGGACAATCAACCTAAAAGGCAACACTTGGGCAACAAGAAACATCTGTCAGTCATATGTTCCAATAGTTTGCTCACTTGAAAAATGGGTGTTTTCAAACAAAGGGTGGTATGTCCTAAGTTGTTTAACACATCTAGATGTGAATACCAGGAAATGAGAGCTGAAAATCTGAACTCTTGTCTCAGACTCATCTTTTGTTTTTAAACCCAAATGTCTTCAGTGAACAACAAAAGCAAAGGAATTTGCCTTACTGTTCCAATACTTTTGGAGGGGACTGTATGTACAGTATGTACTGATTAAAGTGGTACTTCAGCCTGAATATTACTTCCATCAAATTGGGAGTCTTTTGAGAGACTGTTGACATCATCAGCAGAAACTGAGATATCCTGACTTTTATCTCTAAAAACCCTGGATCCTACACTTCCTATATATGACCGGATAGCATCTTTCATCACCTGCCCAAAATACTGCAAAGCTACTCAATTATTATTATTTTTTTTTACTTTTATCCAATCTCACTTAATAGATTTTTAAGAAAAAGAGATATGTAAGATGTCTTGGGTGATTAGTGTCCATTGTGAGGCCATTATTTTACAGGGGTTGTCATGCTATAAGTACAGTATAATAGTCTGTACAGTATAGTATGAAAGAGTAACAAGCTGGGCTAAATATCTGGATGAATGTGATCTGGAGCAGAATTCCAGACAAGCTCACTTGAAGTGTAAACGGGGGGGAAACACCAGTACACCTGTTGAACAATCATAAACATGTAAACCTGCACAAAGCGTATAAAGTATATATAGAGTTTAAAGTGACTTCGCTGTTGTAAGCATTACTGTTCTAGATACTACATTATATATGTTAGAATTCTAATCCTGTTTTAAATTTATTTAATGTATTTTTGCAAAAGCAATGAAAGAACCAATAAGACTAATGATAAGGAACCAAACCAGAAAGACTAGTAGTATCAATAAAATCCCTAAACACTAGTTTAGCACTACAGTTTGTCAAAAAAACACATTTTATTGGTAAGAGATCCCCCCAGACCACCACATAAGTATGGTTCCCCCAATAAAATGTGGCCATTTCCACCACTGCATACTAAATGTATACGGTATATTGTTTAATTGTTGAGCAGTTTCTATTTCCTTGCGCATTGCATTCTGTGAAAACACTGAAAAATCAGGGGGTTTAGTCAGCAGACTGAGTATACTTTATTTTGTCACTTTCCCAGTGTAAAACCACTATATACTCCTGTACCTGCTTACACTATGATATGTACTGGGGAAGTGGGACACTGATCTGGTTCTTATAAAAATTGAGGTGAATGTTCTTTAGATTTGTTGTGTCAACCAGCAGACCATCAGACCACCAGCACCTCAAGGCTACGTTCATTCCCCTCTGCTCTTCTCCCTGAATATCAACAACTGCACTACCAGTCACAGGAGCATAAGCTCCCTCACCAAGAAAGCTCAGCAGAGGATGTCCTTGTACCTGCGGCAACTGAACAAGTTCAACCTGAAAAACAATGGTAGTCCATCCTTACTTCCTCTATCACCATCTGGCACATTGCTGCCTCTGCCAATGACGAGCAGGTGGTAGCGTATCATTTGCTCTGCAGGGAGGG